ACGCCTGCACCCCTCCAGCGCCCCCCCCCTCGGCCGCAGGAATTCCGGCAGGCAGCCATTCTCCATGAATTCAGCCACGATCAGCAGGGGCCGCTGTTGCAGGCAAACACCATACAGCTGCACCAGTTTAGGATGACACAGTTTCCTTAATGAAAGAAGAAACCTTTTTTTTTCCAAGGACCGCACACATTTATTGAGCAAAGATACAAAAAAAAGTGACCTTACATCATGACCTTGGCCTCCTCGATGAAGTCCTCCTCACCCATGGCCCCCTCTCTGATGGTTTTGATCGCCACCTTGTGTTGACCTCGCCATTTTCCAAGTCGCACCATGCCAAACTGACCACTGCCCAACTCCTTCATGAAGGTCAGTTCACAGGGGATGATCTCCCACTTTTCTGCAAAAGAAACAAAGAAAAAGGCAGAGTAAGTAGAGCGTCATCTGCATATTAAGGCACTTAACGTTCTAGTCAAATAAGCATTAGTGTAGTAGACAGGGAATAAATGTATATTAGCCATAACCAAATAAAAGCTTTCAATAAGTTGACTAGTTATCAGAACAATTTGTTTGTTAGACTTGTATCTAATGTTTGCATGTCAACACATCCACATATAATTACATTTAAAATTCTATCAAATCTAAAGAAGGGATTAAGAATTATCACGATAAACATCAGTAAAGGAAAATGAACAAAAACACACTTCAATTAATTTAACATACAATGTTCAAATATGGCACGGAGAATAAAAGGTACAGTTGCTGTACTGTCCACCTGTGTAATGTCCTTCTACCAACAAAGAATTTATTTTGAATTCTAATAAAACTTAAGGGAAGTAAATAAAATAATATATAAAAAAAAAACTAACTAAAAAAAAGTAAATAAGTTACCAAAATACCAGATAACTAAAATAAAAAGTGTATTTTATTATGTGAGGCATGAAACATTCACAGGAATATCGATGAGTTCTCCACATACCTGGGCTACAAGGAAACAAGGAGGAAGGTTATAGGATTTAAAGAACTTATATAATACTTCAATAGTGTTTTCATGTGTAAACAAATGGAGATGATCACCTGAGCTGAATCCTGACGTTGCAGGTAAATACCTTCCCATTGGTCCCACAGCATAACGCAACCTGCTGACCAGGCCTTAACACACACACACACACACACACACACACACACAGATGACTGCTCAGTGATGCTGATCCTGTTAATGTAGTGGAGTTCTACTGTGTTGTTGGGTTTCTTTCACCTGCAGCGTTGTGTTGGTGGTAGCAGATCACCTCAGGTATGGACGTGAATGTGTGTTTTTCAGCCAGGTAGAATTTTCCACACTCACTGGTTTTGATCTGATAATGTCTGATGTCACCCCTTGAACTGAACCCACGTACACATACACAGCTAAGTGTAACACATAAACGTCATTTCATGTTGTACTTTTTGTGTGGTTTGTAAAAACTTCACCTAAATGTCTTGGTGTAAACGGAGACTGTGTAAACTCCTCTTTGACTCGACTCCCGCACCACAAATCCTCCTTCTTTGTCCTGACAACGACGAAAAAACTCAAACAAGTGGACACAAAGTGGACACATGTCCACATAGGAGTCATGACATGTTGGTACAAACCTCCTGTCTCAGCAGCTGCTCGGCTTCTATCCTGGTGATGTTCTTGCAGTACCACCTGCAACCACACAGCTGTTTGTTTTTCCTTCTTGCTAATAGACAATGAACAAACTCTGATAATGAAGAATAATCAAACAGCATCAAACATTAAATACACAGCAAACTCACACATTGGCTTCTATGCAGTTCTTCTCAGTTACATAATTACTGGGGATGAAGCCTTTGTTCCTAAAGGGAAACAAAACCAAGTTTAAAAATATCTAGACAAATATATCAGACAAAAGTAAATGTTAAAAACAATTTCCAAAATGTTGCCAAATTAGGCCCATATAATGATTCTAAACGTTCCATTAAGAATTTGTCGTATTTATGCACACGAAAGATTAAACTTTGAATAAATAATATCATCTGCATAAAAACTATTTCCGTGTGTTTTGTGTTACCCGTGTTTGTCCTGTGCTCTCCACCAGAGCTGGTCCTGTTTGTGAAGGATGATGTATTCGTCCCCCTGAGGTCAAGGCATCAACAACAAGTGTTGTAGAACTACTGACAGTAGGACTATTGACAGAAGGACTACTGACAGAAGGACTACTGACAGGAGGACTACTGACAGTAGGACTACTGACAGTAGGACTATTGACAGAAGGACTACTGACAGTAGGACTACTGACAGTAGGACTATTGACAGAAGGACTACTGACAGTAGGACTATTGACAGAAGGACTACTTAAACTTAAACTTAAACTTATCTTTATTTGTCATTGTGACACAGCACAGCACACCATGCACAACGAAATTTAACCTCTGCATTTACCCCATCACCAAAGTGAACAGTGGGCAGCCGTGGTCAGCGCCCGGGGAGCAGTGCTTGAGGACGATGCCATGCTCAGTGCATCTCAGGAGTAACCTGGCAGTTGGTGGATTTGAACCTGGGGCCTTCCGGACCGAAGTCCGCTTCCTTTACCACTAGGCCACCACTGCCCACTGCCCCCGCCAGTAGGACTACTGACAGGAGGACTACTGACAGTAGGAATACTGAGATCATCAAAAAAAAAAACCTGACAGTATGGAGCTAAAATGTGAAAAGTTAGCCGGATAACACAATATCATCGTAAAAGCAGCCTGACGATCCCAGATACTGTTAAAATATCATACATTATATTCAAATTCCGACCAGAAAAAACAGGAAAAATTTTAATTGCTTAAAAATCCTTGAGATAACTCAATGCTAATTCTAAAAATGCCACATATCTGCCAAAACAGCAGCTAATAGTTAGCCTCTCTTCTTGGAAGTCATCTAAACAACCTAGTGGAAGTTTTATAAACCTATAACGTCACTAAAGTTTAGTCAGGAACCAAGTACCTACAGAGGGTTAGCTAAAGGTTAGCTCAAAATTAACTAAATATTAGAGAAAAATCCATCCATCCATCCATTTTCAGCTGCTTATCTGTTACCGGGTCATGGGGGCATCAGTCTCCATGACCACCACCCAAATCCCACTGCACCGTACCAACCCCCCTGAACCTTCCTGTGGGTGGTGAGTCCACTGGAAGGTACCAACCACCCTGACAGGGACTTGAACTGGCCCAGGAGGTGGACCCTGGGGTTCAACCCCACTAACAGAGACATGGCCTCTGGGCCAAAGCCCCACTATTAGAGAAAAATAAAGTAGAAAAAGCTAACATTCAACCAAAACATAGACAGGAAAGACAGTTAGCTGAACGGTAACTGAAAGTCAACACACTTTAGTCACAGCTAAACCACAACATCAGTGTTAGGTTTGTGTGTTTGGACCTGTTTGAGCGTCAGGTCCGTTTCTTCCTGAGCTTTGAAGTCGTACATTGCAACGACCCTCAGCAGATCGTCGCCCTCTTCGTCCTGAGGAGGGGGAGGAGGAAGCTTTCTCCTGGACCTGTCCACCTAAGACAAAGAGAAAGTCTGTCACCTTTGGCTCTAAACCAAAAGCTCGGAGTGAGGAAGAGGAGCAGGAGGAGCGACTTCTCTGCATATGACTGCAGTCTTGTCATCACAGAGACATTTATCACGGGTTATGTTTCAAGACCGCCGGCGATAGTCGAAAAACAGCAAAGTGGAGATGCGATAGGTATTATTTTATTTATTTATTTATGAACCCTTTACGAACCATTTAGGAGGCTCAGTAGGGCGTGAAATGGGGAGAAAAACTTTCACAAATCTCGTTTACCCGTGCGTACAGGTTATTTCTTGCAGTACCCTGTATGTATGTGTTACAGATTGTCCTTTAATTTATTTTTTACTCTTTTTTTAAATTTTTTTTTTACTTACTAAGACAAAGAGAAAGTCTGTCACCTTATTTTTTACTCTTTTTTTTAATTTTTTTTTACTTAGGCTAGAAAATGCTTATTTTATCACAAAAATAATGAAAATATAGGCAATGTAAAATAAATGTATATACCACTAAAAAACACGTGATAGAGCTAAAAAACTGCAATACAAGAATACATTTATAATATTAAAAACCTGTGGACCGCGATACAGTGAGGGCTCATACAAGTTTTGGGATGTGTTTAAAAATGTATGGTGTTTTACAATGAATCACATTTGTATTAAACACAGATATTTGACACAACAGTCAAGAAACTAAATCTTTCTCTTTTTCCATCTTTGGTACGTACGCGGTGCGGTTGTCCCGGGTATCTACGGCTCTGAAAACACAGGGATGTTCTTCCACTCTCCAGTTCCAGTTGGGTTCTAACCTCTCTGAAATCAATGTATGAAAGAAGGTAAGCATTAGATCAGTCATTTGGGTTGAATCTTTATCCATTTGTCACCTTTATTTACCTCATCTTCTTGTTTCTGTTCATAAACAGATTTAGCTAACTTAGCGGGTAACAATAGCATTTTATTTTAGCTATAGCCTAAATCTCATTCTGTCTTTTAAATAAGATTGTATTTGTAACTTGTTGATATCCATGTCACAGCTGTGCTTGGTTCAACTACAATTCTACATAATATTGATGGTTTCTACAGCCGTGAAGATGTTGTTAGTTCAGACAGGACAATAACTGAAGGGTACGGGGAGAAATACACAGCCAGTCACTACTAAAACTGAAAAACTACAGTTCTAGACAATTCACTCCAGGGCCTTACATAAGATACCAAAAGTACAGATATTTTGGTAAAAAACAAACAAACAGAACCAGTTGTATTACAGCTTGCGTTAAAAGACTTCAGAAAACCAAGGTTTACCTGGTCTGAACGGAGCAGCAGCAGCAACAGAACACGGAGTGGATGGAGTGATCTGGAAGACAACCAGCAACTAATTACCCAAAACCATTGATTAGAACGTTTGGAAGGCAATAGCTTCCTCCAAAATGTTAGCAATGAGCCATATTAGCTCATGTGAAGCTGTGTCTCTAAGGTCAATCAAAAATCCTGAATGTTTGGATCTAGATATAAAAATCAAGCCTAGAGTGGAACACAAACTCTGGCCTGTTGAAACATCAAAACTGAGTGAACAAAAGTGAAATATTCAAGGTTTCCTCTTGAAAAGGACGGTGTGAGAGTCAGGTGATGAACACAGAAACAAGATTTAAGAAAGTGTACTTACTGGAATGGATCATCTTCTGCTTTAAATATGGCTACTGATCAGAAGAAGCGGAGGACAAACTAGTAGCTTCAGGGGGAGGAGGAGAAAAGAAAGATTAAAAAAACACAGAGAAGAAACGTTTGCAACTTCTCACAGGGCAGTTCAATTTGTTATTGACAGAAAAGTTCAACAAAAAATTTAAACAAGACGCTCACACTTCTAGTGGTTTGTGTTTGTTAAAAAAAAAAGATGGAGAGGAAGACAGGAAGTTGAAGGTGTGACTTAATGGAAACCACAGACACATCTGAACCATGTAGTGATCTTTGATGAACTTACATGTAATCTTTAGCATTGTTTAGTCTTCTGTCCCACCACTGACTTGACTCTACACCAGGGTCTTCATACTCTACTACTGTCTACTATATTTATATATGTCCTACAGAGGTTTACATCTTTTATTCAAATTGTGTTTAATATAACTGAAATGTTATACTTAAATTGAACACAGGCTGGTGTATTCATCTATTTATTTTTCGTCATTTTCATCATTTTCTCGTGAACACTTGATGGACATTTTAACTGGATTTCCACCAGTGTTTATTTGATTTATTTAGTTACTTTTGTGCCGCCTAAGTATTTCACTGAAGACTTTACTGGAATGTGTAACCTGTAGTGTGTATAATGTCTATTGTATGGTAGATGATTTGTAGTTGTACAGAAATACCACTACTTTGATCACTGAATCTTAAACACATGGTGGTAGCAGTGAACACGGAAATATGTGCGTGTGTGCGTGAGTGTGTGAGTGTGTGAGTGTGTGTGTGTGTGTGTTCCTCCCACTCTCTCTTCATTTCCTGACTTCTTCGTCTTTTGACTTTTGTCTCAGTGAGAACAGAATGACATGAGCCACGACTGAATCAGAACCAAGGTAAAAAAAAAACAAAATCCTGTGTGTGTGTGTGTGTGTGTGTGTGTGTGCATGTGCGCGTGTTTGTGATTATGGGTAAGAATGACAGTACTGTACATACAGTACAGTACAGTACAGTACAGATGATTACTGCCTCAGTGTAGAAATGATCACTAAATGTACATAGAGAATAAGAATGACAGTATATGCAGATGATGATCGTCTTTATATAAAGAGGATCTATGACTGTATACTTTTTTTTTTAAATGCCAGAAACGTGTAATTAACATAGCATATATAAGAACAGCAGTATATGTTTAAAGCCAACCACCATGGTTATACTCAGTGACCTTAGTGACCAGCTTCCATGTGAGTGGTGGGATTTCAGCCATGTTTGGACATTTGTCCTCCAGTATTCACTGTTTGTCACTTCCGTCACAAATTTGGTTCTTCACAGCCAACCTCTGATGATCAATCACCCATGGGCTTTGGGCTGTGTGCAGCGCCACCATGAGTTCTGAGCTGATACTGGAGGAGACACTGACCAAGCGCTCACAGCAGAAGAAGAGGACGTCGCCACTGAACTACAAGGAGCGGTTGTTTGTGCTGACGAAGAGCAGCCTAGCATACTATGACAGAAAAGCAGAGGTTACTTTTTATAATAACTTGTTTTTTATTTTATCCTTACTTGAGAAAAAAGCTAAAGGCTAGGTTCATTATCAAGTTGCCATGTTGTCTCAGATTAAGCAGAACCATCAAAATATGCATTTTCCTTGTCAACAAAGGCTAACATCTAGCTTCAGGTTATATAAACTGCGGAGAAACCATGTATTTCATGTGTTTGTTTGTCTGATTTTTGGGACTAAGTGTTGTTAATTTTTGAATAGAAAAAGTTCCGGAGAGGCCTAATCGAACTGAGTCTGATCAGATGTGTGGAGATCGTGAGGAGCAACGGAGAACTCATCCCCTGCCACAACAAATACCCTTTCCAGGTGCCATTCATAATCAGTTACGATCAATCGATCTACAGAAGTTTGACTCACGAGTGAGCTACAGGTTAGCCTTGGACAGTTATTACTATTAAAGTTGTCTTTTATCATCCAGGTGGTGCATGACACTAATATACTTTACATTTTCGCTCCGAACCACGACAGTAGAACCATCTGGGTCCAGAGACTGAAGGAAGGTCAGTTTCTATTCTGAGATCTACTTTCTTTGTTCAAATTCTATGCTACTCTGTGCTGCGTTATCCAAGTTAGCCAAAACAAGGAGAGTTACATTTTTGACATAGGACATGGTGGAAAACATGCTGTGATACGTTTAATTAACGTCCTGAGGTTTGGCTAACCGTTAGTTTGTCCATAACATTATTAATAACTTTATTTAATTCAAAGTTACACAAAGGTTAGCAGTAAATCCTATTTATTAAAACAGTTAACATACAACTATAATTAGGTAACGATGAAAAACTAGAAATATTATTGTATGGTGTTTCATCTTTGCTAGTCAAAGGTAGGAGGTGCTATATGTGAACTGTCATTTTAAGCTCAAAAAGCTAGAAAGCTAGTGTTGGAGCTTAGACTTGTGGTGTGTGCTGAGGGAGTGGTTATATATATATATATCTATATATATATATATAGATATATATATAGATATATATATTTATATATATATATATATAATTATTATTATATACTTATTATATATTTATTTTCTTTGTTATTTTATTATTATTCATTTATGAATGTCTTTATAATTTATATTTTTCATTTATTTTGTTGGTATATACAAAGAAATCAAAGACAACCCCTCAGTCTTGGCAAAGTTTCATCCCCAGTTCTGGCAGGAGGGGTCGTGGCTCTGCTGCCGGCAGATGGAGAAACAGGCTCCAGGCTGTGAGAAGTACAACCCTTATGGAGACAGTAAGAAGCTACACCTTGACCTCTGCCTCGACCATGTTGATTTGACTTGGTCTGTCCACCGTCTCTGGCCGTTGTCGATGTTTTCCACTAGAAAGTTCCCCCATGAATCAGGCTTCACCAAAACCAAACGCACTGATCGGAGTTTTATTTCCTTTAACCTGCTCTGAAAAATTCAGCATCAAGTCCAACTGTGCAGTGTGGTGTAATGTGATGGGACAGACATCCCATCACATTTGACCTGGTGGTGGACAACAGGATGACAACGTCATTGTGATGCAGCAGAGGTGACAACGTGATGGTAAAAGTACATTTGTCTTCTGCTTTTCCAGTTACCAGGAAACCTTTACCCCCCGTTCCTGGGGAAAGTAAAGACAGGATGGTAAGAGCATCAAACACACACACACACACACACACACACTGTGGGTTATTTGTTTCCATATAGGAACTTCACATAGACACAGTTCATTTTCTAAACTCTCTCTCTCTCTCTCTCTCTCTCTCTCTCTTTGCCAAAGGATAGCGCATGTCAGCCAAGTTAGCTATTCATTTAACAAATAATTATTTTGTTGCTGGTCCCTCCAGCAGCAACAGCGGCCTCAATCCTCACTTCCTCCCTGTCCTGATGGTGAACAAGGAGGTGATGAAGGGGAGCAGGAGGTGGTGACGGAGAAAAAGGAGGAGGTGGTGGTGGCTCTGTACGACTTCCCCGGCGCAGAACCACACGACCTTCGTCTGGTCAAAGGGCTCGAATACGTCATCCTGGAAAAGTGCGACATCAACTGGTACAAGGCAAGAAACAAGTACGGGTAAGTGGTAAGGCAATAGTTAGCCACAGTGTGCTAACTTTTAGTTTATATTACGCACTTAGTCTCACTCACTAGAGTGTGTGTGTGTGTGTGTGTGTGTGTTTGAAGTGAGGAAGGCTACATCCCCAGTAACTACATTACAGAGAAGAAGTTGGGGAATCTCATGCAGTTTGTGTAAGTTTTTCCAGTACTGTATTTACATCAAAACATTTTTTTTAATTGTCTTTTCAGAAGAGAAAAGTCTGTTTTATTTTCTTTGTTCCAGTTGGTACAGTAAACATGTGAACAGGAACAAAGCTGAGGAGCTGCTCAGGAAGGAGGTGATGGTATAGATTTGACTCATTAAAAGGTTGAGGTTAGATTAGATTTTCTGAGTATCTTTGCCGACCCCTACAGGACAAGGAGGGTGCCTTCATCGTTAGAGACTCCAGCAATCCTGAAACCTACACCATCTCCGTCTATGCTAAGTCTCTTCACACTGGGTGATGAAACTTCTCCTGCAGTTAAAAACACCTGCTGGCCAACACGGAGCACGGAGGAGGATCCAACCTTTCATGTGTTTTGTTGCAGTGATGGAGGAGCAGCAATTAAACACTACCGCATCAAGAAGACGCAGGAGTCTCCTCCTCAGTTTTACCTTGCTGAGAAACACCTGTTCAGCTCCATCCCCGAACTCATTGACTACCACAAACACAACGCTGCGGGTGAACCACAACTTCTCCTCTCGTTCACTGACTATGCCGATCGAGAAGCTGGCTAGCTGAAATGTTAGCTTCCTCTTTGTCTCTGTGTTTACAAGGTCTTGTAGCGAGGCTCAGGTATCCTGTCGGGAAGTCGGCCCCGTCCACAGCTGGTTTTAGCTACGGTGAGTCTTCATGAGGAGATCTTCAGTATTTCAGCCTGTTATGGATAAAAGAGGTTCATCTTCACTATTTCTTACTGTGTTGATGTCCTCAGAGAAGTGGGAAATCAATCCCAGGGAGCTGACCTTCATGAAGGAGCTGGGAAGTGGACAGTTTGGCGTAGTCAGGCTTGGAAAATGGCGGGCTCAACACAAGGTGGCGATCAAGGCCATCCGGGAGGGAGCCATGTTTGAGGAGGACTTTATCGAAGAGGCCAAGGTCATGATGTAAGGAATAACATGTGCAAAAATTAGATAGGTCCAAGGTTGAGAGAACAGAACCTATGCTGGCTGTGCTCCCAAAATGTTCTGTGTGGATGTATCAGTCAGCTGGTACCCAGCCAGCATTGTGTGTGGGTCTGGAACAGTTAAGGGGCAAAAGTAGATTTCAACCAGCATCTGTAGAGAACCTTGATCTCTGCATCCTGTTTTTTCTGCAGGAAACTTTCCCACCCTAAGCTGGTCCAGCTCTATGGACTGTGCAGCCAGCAGCGACCCATCTACATCGTCACTGAGTTCATGGAGCTGGGCTGTTTGCTGAACTTCCTCCGACAGCGGTGCGGTGGCTTCAACATTGGCTCCCTGCTGAGTATATGCCTGGATGTCAGCGAGGGCATGGAGCACCTGGAGGCCAATGGATTCATTCATAGAGACCTGGTACCAATTATCTCCAGAATGTTCCTACTTCCAGTTATACTCCAGGGTGTGTTGTTGTCCAGGTGGCTTAATGGTTCTCCTGTCCTTTGAAGGCAGCGAGAAACTGTTTGGTGAGTGACACCATGGTAGTGAAGGTGTCCGACTTTGGAATGACCAGGTAGGTCCACTGGAACTCAGGTATGATAATAACGTATGATGATTCCTATCTGTTGAACTTTCACCTGAGCATGTCGTTGTCTGCTGAGATGGTAAAAACAACCAGACGAGGAACTGCTGTTGTTGTGTTGCTGGTATCCAGCAACATCAGCAGTATGACAACAGCAGTACGACAACAGCAGTGTGACAACAGCAGTATGACATCAGCAGTATGACATCAGCAGTGTGACATCAGCAGTGTGACATCAGCAGTATGACATCAGCAGTATGACATCAGCAGTGTGACATCAGCAGTATGACATCAGCAGTATGACATCAGCAGTGTGACATCAGCAGTATGACATTAGCAGTATGACATCAGCAGTATGACATCAACAGTATGACATCAACAGTATGACATCAACAGTATGACATCAGCAGTATGACATCAGCAGTATGACATCAACAGTATGACATCAGCAGTATGACATCAACAGTATGACATCAGCAGTATGACATCAACAGTATGACATCAGCAGTATGACATCAGCAGTATGACGTCAACAGTATGACAACAGCAGTATGAGGAGACTGAAGGACTTGAAGAACACAACGTTTTGTGTCCTCAGTCCAACAGTTGTCCCACCTGATTTTCTGACCACACTGTGGTACTGCTTCTTGTTCTCTGTCTAATTCTGAAGAACAACAGCACCACACGGCTGTTTCTGAAGACCAAATTCAAACCTGACTTTTTGGGAAACTTGTAGGTACGTGTTGGACAACATGTATACCAGCTCGTCCAGTGCCAAGTTCTGTGTGAAGTGGTCTCCTCCAGAAGTCTTTCACTTCTGCACGTTCAGCAGCATGTCGGACGTCTGGTCCTATGGTGAGAAGGCACCAGAATAAAACTAAGGTCTGAAAAACATTTCTTTACAATGAGCTCCTTTTGTTGTTTCAGGCGTGGTAATGTGGGAGGTTTTCACCGAGGGTCAGATGCCATTTGAGCAACAGCTGAACCATGAGGTTGTGACTCTGGTCACTAGAGGACACAGACTTCACAGACCAAAAATGGCCCCACCCTTTATCTATGACATCATGCAGAAGTGCTGGCATAAGGTAAAAACAGTGGAGGACATTTTCAAATGCTCCCTCTAGTGCCTAATTCCAAGGGTTTTGTTGTATTAGGAAGAACATGAAAATGGTACCATATCACTATGTGGACTCTAACCCTAACCCTTACCCTAATTGATCTTGACAGAAACCAGAGGAGCGTCCATCGTTCTCTCAGATCTGTGTCATGATTGCTGATGCTCTGGAGGGTGACCTCACAGATTGACCAACTGGACCATACACGTTTTAGTGACCAATCAAAAGCACAGTTTTAAATAGCTCATAAACAACAGAGAAGACACCTCAAGCCGACGGACGGACAGAATGTTTTTCTAGGTCATTGAATTTTGGACCAAGTCCATTGTAATTCACATAAATGATGTCCCTCTTATAAAAGAGTCCAAAAGTGTTCTGTGTCTGTTTTAATCTTATTGGTGATCTGGGGCTGGACCTTGAGCTGAACTGAAGACCTGTTTGATCAGAATCAAGTTTAAAATCGTATCTGTTTTTGAGGGTGTGACCTCTGAGCTGTGGTAGAACAGTATCCCTCTTTGAAGATGTTTTCATTTTATGATTCCCTACATTTTTGCAAGTTCCAGAAAGTTAAAGAAGACCGGTAAAAAAAAGTCCCGCGTATGAGAGGACTAACCTTCTGGGTTTACCTCTCATCATGATGTCATGGAGCAGACTTTTCTGCACAACATTTTCAATTTTGGAACGGATGTATCAGATTAGGAATGAACTAGGGAACATGAATCTGAGTCCAGGAGCCGTAGGGATTTGAACCAACAAATATTCTGTGTGGATGTGTGTGTGTGGATGTGTGTGTGTGCCTGTGGTATCAGATTCACCGCTGTTTGTTCACGTGCGGCCGTGCATACAAGGCATCACTAATGTGGAAGAAGAAAGTCCACGTCATGGATCAGGAGTAACACACACACGATGATCCCCCTGCCCACCCACACCCCGAGTGAGGAGTCGGCAGGACTGTGGTACAGTCGTACTGCAGTTGTAGGTCTGTAGGTGTGGTGGTGACTCTGTGACCCAGAAGTAAGGGACCCTTGTAAACCTGAACCAGAGGTAAGACCTAGAACCTCCCCAGCCTTTTACACTGAAGCTAACCGATGTTTACTCTCTTGGCTAATGTTCGGCTACCTCACAGTTAACTTTTAAATTATTTTACAGCTGACTTTCAACTATCATTGGTTAATTAGGAAGTCCTTTACGAAATCAACCAATCAATCAATTCCCTGCTTCTTGGTAAAACTTTAATCTATGTGTTTTGAATGACTTTTAGCTATTTCTCTCCAATCTTTAGCTAGTTCATAGACTACCATTCATCTCTGTGGCCTTTTGACTTGTTTGCCGTACTTAGCTTGTTCTTTGTTGTCTTTCAGTAATTTTTATCTAATCTAGTCTTCAATCTTAGCTATGATTAAACTGAAACTCAACTATCATAGCTAATTAGTTATATATTCTAACCTATTAGCTAACCATTTAATAGCTTACCTACTGCTAATGTATTGGCTTTTGTTTGCGATTGTGTATTCTTGACCACATTAACCTTCTTTTGCTTTTTTTGTCTGTTATCTTTTATTTGTTGGTTAACTGTAGTTATTTCCAGCCCATTTGTTTCTGTTGGCAAACTGATAACTTTATGTCTCATCTTTTATTAAAACAAACATTAGATTCCTTGTTGATGAACCAGTAGTTTAGCTTTTAGCTCTTTTAGCTGGTTTGGCTAATTTGTTTTTCTCACAATTAATCCTAAATTTAAAGATCCACATTTCATGATTCCAAATCAGGTTAAAGTCTTGTAAATGAACCTTCTACAGTACAGAATCCAGGAGAATTGAGAATGATAATAAAAGGCATAACAAATCACTCAGAGAGGTTTAATCAGGGAGGTTTGTCCTGCATGGAAGAAAAGGTCAGGGGTCAAGAGGTAGTGTGAGAACAGGAAGTCTTTCTGTAGCTAATTAATATTTAATCCACAGATTAAACTCCACCGTTTGTGAGAGAAATTAATGTATTATTGATGAGATATGAAAGCCAATTAGCATCCATGAATGAATTATTGATTACAGACTCTTTTCCATCCTGAGTTGTTTTCCTTCTTCATTCTTTCATTTTTTTGACAGATGTCATGGCGTTCCTTATCCCGGGGCTCAAAATTCCGTCATGTTTTCGGAAAGCCAGCCTCCAGGGACCACAGCTATGACAATGTACCTATCACACACAGCGTTCACGACAATCACCACTGTTCAGCCAATCCCTGCTTTATTGCTGTAATCACTGAGTGTTCGGGGGGCGGAGCCTTCCTAGTCCTCCCCATCCGACATGTAAGCGGTTGCTTATTTGTAGTTAACTGTCTTTTAGTTATTGAGTTTAAGCTATTTTGGCTGCTCTTGTAAAACACCAATTTTGACCAGATGTTTTGTAATTATTCCCAGTTTACTTGTTATAAGGGTTGATTGTTTTTTGTTTTTTTTTTAGATTAACCAATTGATTGAGTAATAAATACATTTTGCTGTTTGTTTGTCAGACAGGGCGGGTGGATCCTCATCAGCCCCGGGTGTGTGGTCATAGTGGGCGTGTCCTGGACATTAAGTGGAATCCCTTTGATGATTACTGTATCGCCTCATGTTCAGAAGACTGTACTGTATGAAGCGTCTTTGTTATGTGTTATATTGCTGTATTTCTTTGATTTCCATCTTTTGTTTTTGACATTTCTGGGCTAAATAACCTGTTGTTTGGTCAATGTTTGTTTACCTGTTGGTCTCTGTGGACACAGGTGAAGATCTGGGACATCCCAGTCACTGGGGTCCAACAGAACCTTACCAGGGCCAGGAAGACTTTGATTGGTCACTCGAGAAGGGTGGGGCTTATTGAGTGGCATCCTACAGCTGAAAACCTGCTGCTTAGCTCCGCCTACGACTACAAGGTCAGGACCCCTTACTGGTGTTCAGAGTCAAAGAGTCTTACAGTGGTCGGTGGTCTTATGGAGTGATCCATACTATGTGTGTGTTGTGTTAGGTTTTCCTTTGGGACATATCCCAAATGGGATCAATAATCAGGTTTCCAGTCCGGGTGGTTCTGATGCCCTTCTACCACCGTTACCCTCCTGAGACCCTTCTGCTATCAGTTAGCTTCAACAGTGATGGAAGCAGGTTGGCAGTTACATCCAAGGACAGGCGGATTCGGGTTCTGGACCCGCGGACCGGAAAGATTTTGCAGGTGTGTATTTTTGTCCTGTTGAGTCATTTTTAAAACAAAAAATAAATACGTTGATGTTGTTCCAGGTTTCGTGCAACAAGACCCACAGGGCCTGTAAGGTAATATACATCGGACGATTGCTGCTGTCCACCGGCAGTTCACGATGGAACCACAGACAGATTGTCCTCTGGGACCCGGTAAGACCAAACCTACAGCAAGACAACCATTGTTGCTAAAGGCCCCTGACATTAGGGTCATTGTGGCATTTAAAGCCCTCGACCACCAAAGGTGGCTAATGGGACTGCTGCCTCCACCACCAACGTGTCCTGTTGAAACTTACTCCAACCACGTTGTCAGAGATAATTGTGTAGAGCCCATGTGGTCAACAAATATATGCGACATAGATGAGTTTGTGCCATGGAAAAATATCGAAACAGAAACAGAAATGCTTTATTTTCCACAGACAATAATTGCCAAACTTCCAGGTCAATGAGGTGATGTTTTTTCATCTGTGTGCAGGACGACTTGTCTGAGCCTGTGTATGAGGAAGACTTGGACGGATCTGCAGGAGTTCTCTTCCCGTTCTATGACCCAGACACACACATGCTCTACCTTGCTGGAAAGGTCTTTCAAAAAAAAAAAAAATCAAAACGTATTGGTTTTCGATTTGCTTGAAAAAAGCGACCCAACCAGACAGCGTTTGTACGTTAAGTTGTTGTGTTGATTTGTTTGATCCAGGGTGACGGGAACATCCGCTACTACGAGCTGAGTGCAGAGAAACCTTACATCAGTTTCCTGACAGAGTTCAGATCCTCACTGCCACAAAAAGGTCTAGGTAAGATGCCAGGCAGGACGATTAAGTTCTCTTTCACACCTTAACATTTGCAGTATAAACTAGGTTATCATCCACATCAGGACACACGACTGTGCTCAATCATTTAGGGCAAGTCCAGTTTCCAAACCCAAACCAGTATCTGTTCAACTCTTACTTCACCTCAGGTGTAATGCCAAAGCGGGGCCTGGATGTTGCCACCTGTGAGGTTTTCAGATTTTATCGCCTGATTGTGGTTAAAGATCTAGTCGAACCCCTGTCCATGATCGTACCACGGAAAGAGGTTGTTAAGAAGTTTAATACACTTCCCTAAAATCAGAAAAAGAACAACAACAGAGAAGGCACAAGTCATGTCAGCTGTCTTTGCCTTGCAGCCAGGGATTTTCCAAGAAGACCTCTACCCAATGACAGCAGGAAATCAGGCGGCCATGACAGCTCAAGAGTGGCTATCGGGAACCAACAGGGGTCAGTATCACGTCTGTGTCACAGCTGACAGACTGGGGAAGTGATTGTAAAAGCATCTCCCTAACCATACTTCTCAGGTCCACTGCTGATTTCCCTGAAACCAGAGAGTCAAGTAGCCAATCCTTACCCAGAAACACCAGCTGAGAAGGGGCAGTTGAGGCAACTGAGCAACCGCCAGGTCCAGAAGGTCCCAGGAACGGTTACAATGACTGGAACACGTCTGGACTTTATTGAACAGGTAAAAATGGCTGTGGTCACTTCAAATCAGGTCACACCCAGTACAGCACTGGACTCTGGTCAAACTCTGACCACTGCCGGTCAACAACACTGTTGTCACCTGGAAGAGAAAGTTCAGTCTACAGAGACCTTCACTTTAGAGGCTGCTTCAATTCAAAAACAACCGCCTTTCTCCAGGCCTTCCTTGAAGAGCAGCTGGCCTACCAAGATGCCAAATACCCCAGAGTAGTCAGCGACCTGTCGGGTTGGCAACCAGATGAGACCCAGATCCCACCATGGATATACTGCTGCACGCCACACTGCTGTGAGCCTGCAGAGAGACCACCACCCACCGCTGAAAATGAGGTAGAAGAACCCGAGCTGAGGATTCCTCAGATGGACCAAATGTTCTTTTGTGTCAGATTCAATTTTCCGGTTGTTTCAGCTGCTTCAGGCGTTCTACCGTCAGCAGGACGAGATCAGAGGTCTGAAGGAACAACTGAACCAGAAGGAGGTAAGACCACCATCGACCCAACATGGACATGAAAACAGGAGGAGAAATGAAGTGTCCACAGCCAGAAGGACACACTCCAGAAGATTACAAACATGAACCAACACAAACGAAGAAGCGTCAAAAATGGGTTGAACAAATCACCTTCAGTGACATGATGCTTCTCATTTCTCAGGTGAGAATCGCTCGACTGGAGCGAGAGATCAAAAACAACAGAAACAGCGTGAGTGCCACCTTCTGAGCAACCAGACCAAGTACCCAGACAAAAACCACTAAATAAGCCATTTTTAGTCTTTGGTTAAGAGTGGTTTTATTGTCAGTTCACGCTTTGGTTAAGAGTGGTTTTATTGTCAGTTCACGCTGTCCCACCGCTCCCTCTTGTGGTCAATTTAGGTAACTGAAGTAATCTGTACTTAATACCTCTGACACCAATGTAACAACACTGGTAAAATAAATAAAGAGAACTTGTCATGACTACTTATTGGATCTCAGTCTAAGAATGAATAATTTAGTTCCTAAAGTTCCTTTAACATGTGGACAAACACGTGGGGCAACACAGAGAGCAAAATGTTAAGATTTTATTTACAAAGTCCTCTGTTTTTTGTTTGTTTTAACTTACAGAAAGTAAAAAAAAGCACAAATAGAAATGTTCAGCATTAAAGAGTAACAGAAAAGGAGAGGGAGGAGAGAGAGAGAAAGAAAGTGAGAGGGCGAGAGAGAACCCCAAACAAGGATACAAAATTAACAAAAAAATTCTGTGAAAAAATATCTTTTAAAAAGCTCTGAGAGGAGAGAGAGGGAGGGAGAGAGTTGCAGACAAAGAGAGATTGCCCTGAGCACGCTCGGCCTTCTGTTTCAGAAACTGTGATGAAAGCAGTGTGTCGGCAGGTCGAGTTGTTCGGTGATGACATCACGGGTTGGAGGAGTCTGCTTTTTGCCTCAAAAATGTGAAAATTGACAGCGGAGACAAAAAAATGTATCGTTATGAAATTTGTTTTTGGAACTGAACTGACATACACGGTGGTCGACGTTGTAGATTCCGTATGGAGATGAAATACACTGACCCGACGAACGACGACCAAGAAAAACATTGGATCGCTGATGATGAAGACAGAAAACTTGGAACATTCAGTTCAAGGCTCTGGAGACTAAAAATCACAATTGCATCCAGATTATGGGGTAAATTTGACAACGACGAAGATGCAGCAGGAAATAAGACGGTGGCACCGGATTTGGCCGAGTGGAGGGGGGAACAGAAAAGCACGGGGGGGAGGGGGGGTGCTTAGGGGCACTAATCGTCTTCATCGTC